AGGTAGTTCAGGTTAGCCTCAAGGGTGCCGTCCCCCACCAAGGTCGCACAAGGTAGTTCAGGTTAGCCTCAAGGGTGCCGTCCCCCACCAAGGTCTCCCAAGTGCTGGGACTACAGATGTGAAAATTACGCTGGCTTGGACTTGAGCTTTCATTTTGTTTTTGTTCTTTGAGACAGGGTTTCTCTGTGTAGCCCTGGAACTCACTCTGTAGACCAGGCTAGCCTCGAACTCAGAGATCCGCCTGCCTCTGCCTCCCGAGTGCTGGAATTAAAGGCCTGTGCCACTGCACCCAGATTTTGAACTTTAACATTTTAACCACAAGACGGTGCTCAAACTGAGGGAATCGACGTGAGCATCACACTGTCACCTGTAGACCTGACTGAGGTTTTGTCAGCTGCCCAGAGTTCTGTTCCTGGATCAGCCACCGTGTGGTGAGGATGACACCAGTGTATTCAAGCTATCCTGGCTCCTTGTCGATTTGCGACGGTTTCTCAGTCTTTCTTCCTCCTTCAAGACCTTCATTTGGAAGGAGTACAGGCTCATTCTGGTGTGCGTGTGTGCGCGTGTGCGTGCATGCGTGCGTGCGTGCGTGCGTGCGTGCGTGCGTGCGTGCGTGTGTGTGTGTGTGTGTGTGTGTGTGTGTGTGTGTGTGTACCCACACCCTCGAGTACATGCAGAAGCCAGAGGAAGACCCTGGGTGTCTTGCTCTGTTGCTCTACCTAATTCCTTTGAGACAGGTTCTCTCACAGAAACTGAGCTAGGCCGGCGGCCCCAGCAATCCTGTCTTTATCTGCCCCCAGCCCTGGGATAGCAGGGCATACGTGGCCATGCCTGACTTTTTGTGGGGGTCTCGGGGGTCAAGCCCTGTCCTCCTCACGCGTGCACAGTAAGCACTCTTAACTATTTTCATTCTCTCTCTCTCTCTCTCTCTCTCTCTCTCTCTCTCTCTCTCTCTCTGTAGGCCAGAGGTCAGCCTCAGAGTGTTATTTCTCAGGTGCTGTCCAGCATCTTTTCTGAGACAGTCTTTCACTCACCCTGAGAACTCACTGGTGAGGCTGACCGAGCAGCGCACCCCCAGGGACCGCCCTGTCTCTCCCTCCCCAGTGCTGGGATTACGAGAACCTGCCACCACATCCGCTTTATTCGGTGGGTTCTGGGGTTCAAACCCAGGTCTTCGCACTGGCAGAGCAGGCACTTTATCAAGCGAGTCACCGCTCGTTCCGGCTCCCAGGCTGGTTCTTTGTAGACTCTCCCGGGTGGGTTTCCTCAGGAGAAATTTTAGGTGGGGCAGTTTAGACGGCTTGATTACAAGAAGGATGAAGAATCAAAGCCGAGATGCTGGGACAGGCTGGTGGGAGACGCACAGATGGGATCTAACAGAGGGGCCGAGTGAGAGCCAGGAATGTGGGCGTCAGCAGGGCGGGAAACCCTTTCCAGTTTTGTCCATGAATGAGGGCCCCAGAGGAAGTGGCAGAGACCGGGTGCCTGAACCTGACGTGAGCAGTTGGGTAGGACACGTGGATAAGATTGATGGGTGACAGAAACAGGCCTGAATGATGGCTAATGGCTCCAGGTTTTGGAATCAGAGCCCTCCCCGATCCCCTTCCCTCTAACCCTCCTTCTAGGCCTTAGCTATCTGGGTGGGAGGGCCCCAGGGGCAGTAGGATGAAAGTCAGATTAGAGGGGCCTGAAGAGAGTGAGCAGTGGTCTGGGAGACAGGGAATGGTGTGGACAACAACCAAAAATCAGAGGAATGGGCGGGGTCTACAGGAAGAACAGGGACTAGGGAGAAGGATGTTTGAGAATGGGTGGGGAATGACCGGTGTGCTGATGGAAACAACCCATCCAGGGCGTTGGAGAGGCTGGGCAGCTCAGCCACCATTGTCCACAAGGCTAGGCCATGGTGCTGGGACCAAGATTTAAACTAGAGGCCAGGCAGGTGGCCTCGGTGGGTGAAAGATTGTGGTACGGGTGTTGGTGTGTGTGTGGGTACTGAGTGTGGTGGTAGAGCCCAGGGGGAGGGAGACATGTTCCAAAGATGCACACGGAAAGGCGTGTCCTGGGCGACCACTTGAAGAGCGCCTGAGGTATGTGTGGGGAGAGAGAGGGTGATGGGCAGTGACTGGGGGGGACAGAGTCTAGCCCACTGTGACGGCTAAGCCTGCTACACAGCTACCTGTTTGTTTAGAAGCGAAAACTGTCCAAAAGGGGCATTAAGGAAAGAGGGAGTGCCCCTGCCATCCCTGGCTCTCTTCATCAGCTGCCAGAGGTGGGAGCCGTTCTGGGAGAGATGAAGGAGGTCATGACCCATTCACTGAAGGGAGTTCTAGAAAACTCCATGGCCGTTGAGGACAGAAAAGGGGGAGCTGTTCCTTCCAGGCATCATGGCCTCAGAAGTGTACCCAGGAATGGCTGGGCTATACAACCCTGCATGTATCCACCTGGTGGCACCTGCCACAAGAACACACATGTGCCATAGGGATCAGTCCAGAGGTCCCCAAGTGCCCACCAGCTAATGCCACATCACTCGCATGCATCACCTATTTCTGGCCTCTCCACTGTGGAGTTTTGTCGTTCTTTGCCTGGATAGGGCCTTCTCCGCGAAGCCTCCCTTGACTTTTTTTCATTAGAAGAAATCGCCGGAGCATCTTTGCTGCTTCTGCTTCTGTATTGTGGTGTCTACATAACTGCCTGATTGCTCAGGAGCAGGTTCCAGCACAAAACCAGACGTGTTTATTTTGGATCTCTCATGAAGTTCCATCTTTGTCCATTAGGTGGCACCAGGGGTCTGTGCGAGGCTCCAGCGTGCCTTTGGGTCCGGCCCCTGAGAGGAAGGGTCCTTTGGGAAAGGATCCATATCCTGCTGCTTAGACCGGGGAACTGAGAGGAGAAGGAGAAAGGGAGGGATGGAGAGAGAGCGACAGAGGGAGAAACCTGACTGAGTCCACACAGCTGAGTATGGGTCCCCAGGCTCTGTCCCAGGCTTTTTCTGCCCACCCCACGTGCCTGTCCTGATAGACGCAGGCCTCCCTACAGCCACAGCTAGGGTCTGGCTGAGTGCAGACCCCCGGGGTGGTGGCCTGAGGAGGCACCCTGCTCACACTCTCAACTTGCGGCCACATGGTCGCTGAAGGGCTTGTCCAGCTCAATTTCAGCCTGGGCTAGGTACAGTGCTTCCCTACTGAGATTCCAGGGTCGACGCCACTGTATCAGTGCCCCGACAGGCACCATTCTTCAGTGTAAGTTCATATCCAGGATGGCTGGTCCCTTGGCCTCAGGAGAAGGCAGACCCAGGTTGTGAAGGGCATTGGTTAGGGCTCTTGTGCAGAGTCCGAGGCAGGGGTGGGGTGGGGCCCCTTGCTAGTGTCTCTAAGCGGCCCCTGGTCGGCTTCCAGGTAAAAAGCCCCCACCACATTGAAGCTCTAGGGTCCAGGGGAATAGGGAGGTGGAATTGTGAGCCATGGGTCCTTCTCAGGCTGAGCCAAGGGCTAATCTGTTTCCTTTCTGGAGATGAGACAGGGAGGGGAGATAGGGTCCTGGGATTCCCACCCTCCAGGAAGCCCAGGAGCAAAAGAGGGCCCCAGGGCTGATTGGAGTCCAGTCTCTCTCTCAACAGCTGCTCATGGATTTCCTGCCACCCCCTCCCAAGGGCTCAGGCCGCTCCATCTGGGAGGCCCACCCTACAGGCATTTCTAGAATTCTGGGAGCTCTAATTTTGAAGGTCACGGATTCTGAAAGGAGGGGGTGGGGTGGGGTGGGGTGAGGTAGGAGCTGGGGGTGGTGGAGACAGAAACTGCTCTGAAATGGTGGTGGTGTGGGGGTTCCAGCCTACCCAGATCCAGTTCCTTGCCGGCCTCCGCCTTGGCTCCTTTTCATGCACTCCTCACCAGAGTTTGGGGCAGAACAGTGAAATCTGGTGGCACTAAAGTGTGTAGGGCCCATGGGCTTGGGAAGAACTCACCACCACCCATTGTGCTCTGGCCTGAGGGAAGCAAGACAATGGAAGGCCCCCTGGGCTTTGCATAAACCTTGTCCCCACCTCAGAGAAAGCCTGCTGAGCTGAGATGGAGCCTGGGAGATTCAGGGGGGAGGCTGTGGAGGTCTGCGTAGGCCACCCATAGGTCAGTTGTTCTCAACCTTCCTAATGCTGGGACCCTTTAATACAGTTCCTCATGTTGTGGTGACCCCCGACCATACAATTATTTTCAATGCTACTTCATAACCGTGACGTTGCTACTGCTATGCATTGTAATGCAAATATCTGTGTTTTCTGGTGGTCTTTGGCAACCTCCGAGAAAGGGTCTTTCTACCGCAAGGGGTCAGGACCCACAGGTTGAGAACCACTGCCTTAGACATTCATTTCTTACCAGTGCCAGACCTGTGAAGTGTGGCTAGGTCTTAAGCCCCTAGTAGGATGAGTTCCTTGGGTTAGAAATGAACACTGTACCCCAGCTGGGGGGTAGAGTCCCAGGGCCAGTCATGGGGACGTCTCTGGAGAGGCAGAGAGCAAAGCCAGACCCCGCCCTGATGATCCCTGACCTCTTTCCCAGGTTGTCTTACCCCTTTGCTGCTTTGCTGCTTTGCTGGAGCCTGGGTACTTGCCTTTGTGAGTGTCCGTCATTCTGACTGTCCACACCTCAGCTAGGAGGGAATCTCCTAAGGGGGACAGGCTGGCCTGCACCGGCATGGTGTGGGCCAGCTGAGGTGGCTGGAGAAACTGCAGGTAGATGGCAGGCTTGGAGCTCCTCGGCTTCCCTCTGCCTCCCCGCCTCCCCGCCTCCCCGGCCAGCGTTGGGTGGAGCCACCGCCTTATAAGTGGCCGACCTGGGGGCAGCAGCGCAAACTACTCCAGCAGCTGGATCAGAGGGCAGCTCCTTTTTCCCAGCATGGCCCCCTCGGCTTGGGCCATCTGCTGCTGTCTCCTGGGGAGCCTCCTGCCCCATGGGGGCAGCCCCAGCCCCGGTCCCAGCCCCAGTGTGCCTCGTCTGCGGCTCTCCTACCGAGGTACTGCCAGTGCTGCCCTGTTTGTGTGCATGCTGTGGATGCCTGTGGCTCTCGGACATCCATCCCTCAGCCAGCCAGCAGCGATCGAGCGGGGTAGTAGGTCCTGCACATCCCTTGGGAAAGGCTTCCTGGCCAGCCTCTGGATGGTGCTAAGGGTGACTGTGGGCGGGAGAGGTAGACACATCCTGGGAGCCGTGTCCAAAGGGGGAGACTGATACAGTGTGGAAACTAAGGAAGCTGTTACAGGGGAGAGAGGGAGACCGAAAGCCTGAGAGACCTCCGTAGGGATGGGCACAGAGGTAGAAGGGGGGCAAAGGGTCTGGGCAGAGGGGAGGGTACAGAGAGAGTCTGGGCAGACGTCAAGGGAGTGGGTAGAAGTCTGACTTAGTCCTGAGCCACAGGGAAGGGAGGAGTCTCTCCCACCTCTCGCAGCCTGGTTTACCATCCAAGCTCTCTTTATCATCTCCTCTCCATCTATTGTCCTGGAGAGTCTCTGCTTCTCTCTGCCATCCAGCGTGGGGAGTGTGTGTGTGTGTGTGTGTGTGTGCTTGTGTGTGCGTGCAGAGGTGGTCCCCTCCATTCTATCTAGCTATGTGGTCCTGCCACTGTCTATGGGGAAAAATGATTGAGGCTAAGAGTCTTCTTCAACAACAACAAAAAAGTATTGCATTTATCTATCTATCTATCTATCTATCTATCTATCTATCTATCTATCTATCTATCTATCTATCATCTATCATCTATCTATCTATCTATCTATCTATCTATCTATCTATCTATCTATCTATCTATCTATCATCTATCTATCTATCTATCCAATCATCTATCTATTTATTTTGAGAGAGAGAGAGAGAGGATGTGCTGTCCAGGAGTCCACGTGCTACAGTGTATGTTGTATATGTGTGGGGGTCGGAAGACTAGTGGCAGGACTTGCTTCTCTCCACCATGTGAGGACCCAGGGATCAAACTCAGGTGGTCAGGTTTGGCAGCCAAGTGTCTTCACCCACTGAGCCGTTTCACCAGACCTGCAGACTCTCTTGGGGAGAAGAATCACCTTCCCCTGGGAACCTCACTTACGAGGTGCAAAGTCCAAGCTTGCTGTGGAGGCCAAGGGGGACAGGTGTCCCTGTTCCCGGAGCCGTGGCTTTGAGGGGAGATGGGACTGTTAGAAATGGCCTGTAAGAGGGAAGTTTCAGAGTCTCTATCAGCCAAGGAGGGCTTCCTGAAGAGGCCGCCAGTGCGTTTGGGGATGGAGTGGGGTGCCTGAGGAGCTCTAGGCAAAGGGTCACTCGGGGGTGAGACCTTCCCCAGAGTGAGAAATCTGCCAGTCCTTTGGGGAGACATCACTTCCATCTCCCCAAGGAACTAGGGCAAGACCTACAACCCTTGGGGCCCTTGATCCCTCCATCTCTGGGGCCAGCTGGCAGGGCAGTGTCTGTGAGGGAGTATGGCATTTGCCCACAACGCTGAGGCTGGAGTTCCGTCTGGCCGTGCCTAATCTGCCCTGGGCATGATGCTCCCGCTGCCTGGACCTGTCCAGCTTCCCAGTGGAACCAGTCTCGCAAATGTTCACACTCGGCCACCTTCGTCCTGGCTCTCCGAGCTCTTTGCCAGGCTTGCTGATGTGATTTCTGTTGGTGGGGCTGTCTTCCCTGGGATACTTAGCAAGGTACAGGTAGGATCCCGGGAGGCCGTCAGCTGAGAGATCAAGGGTCTGAAGGATGGAGGGAGGAGGGAGGAGAGGAGGGAGGTTTGCTTGGTACCAGAAAGCTTGGGTTCTGAGCACCATGGAAGGTGGCAATGTGGCCCTAAGTTTAATCTCCAGGACCACTTAAGGGAAAAAAAAGAATGACGGCAAACTGGGCTAGATTGCCTGGGGGCTGAGAGTTACTTGTACTACTTGCCCCAAGAACCTTGTCCCAAAAGCCACCCAGCAATCCTGTGCATGTGTGCATGGCACCGTTTTCCAGATGTACTTGTGTGGTGGGTGCACAGCTTGGAACTCCATTCCCTGGCCCTGGCTGGGGAAGCAGGCTGAGTAGCAGACCCTAACCCTCTTCCCTCGATCTCTCCTAGATCTCCTGTCTGCCAACCGTTCTGCCCTCTTTCTGGGTCCACGGGGCTCCCTAGACCTCCAAGTCATGTTCCTGGATGAGTATCGGGATCGCCTCTTCCTGGGAGGCCGTGATGCCCTCTACTCTTTGAGGCTGGATCAGGCATGGCCAGACCCCCGGGAGGTGAGCGGGACTGGTGGGGTGAAAGTGGGGCACCCCCAGATGGGGGGCCAGATGGAGAACTTGAAACCTTGAGTGTAAGGGCACTGAGGCACTGTCTGTGTTTCAGGTCTTGTGGCTGCCACAGCCAGGACAGAGGGCAGAATGTGTCCAGAAGGGAAGAGATCCTTTGGTGAGTACTGTTGACAAGGACCTCTCTAGCCCACTCAGTCCCACGCCTTGGTTCTCAAAATGCCCTGCAGCCACGCCCCTGGTGCCTCTGCTTGGAGCATTCGGAGCCGATCCTGAGTGTTTGGGAGGCCTGGGAAGAATGTGACCTTCACCCATGCCCCCAGAGCTGATATGAAGCGGGGCTGAGCCTTAGAAGCGAAGGACATGGTGCGCTTCTCCCTCACCCTTGGGCCCCTCCCTTCTCCTGCAGACAGAGTGTGCCAACTTCGTGCGGGTCTTGCAGCCCCACAACCGGACCCACCTGCTGGCCTGTGGCACCGGAGCCTTCCAGCCCATCTGTACCCTCATCGCAGTGGGGCATCGAGGGGAGGTGAGCCTGGGCCCGGCCCCAGGAGGGATTGGGAAGCAATGACATTTCCCCCCTGCTGCCTGAACACTTCCCATTGAGCCAGGGTTGGACAGAGCGGGGTAGGGGCTTGAAAGGCGCCTTTGTGCTGGGGTCCTGACCCCATCAGAGAGGCTTTGAATGAGGATTTCTTCCCCTACCCCCAACCCCACGCCTCAGTTGCACGCGAGGGTTCCTGCCTGGGTCGAGGCCCGCTTCTTTCCCAGGTGACACCCTCCCGCCTCCGCCGCTCTTTTCCTACCTCCAGCACGTGCTCCGCCTGGAGCCCAGCACGGTGGAAAGTGGAAGGGGGCGGTGCCCACATGAGCCAAGCCGGCCCTTCGCCAGCACCTTTGTAGGTGGGTGATACCAAGCCAGGGGGGGCAGGAGGGTGAGAGTTGGCCTGTGGCCCTGGGAAGGGATGGGCTGGTCGCTAGGCCTGGCCTCTCCCATGACTCTGGCCCCTTCTAGGCGGGGAGTTGTACACTGGCCTCACCGCTGATTTCCTGGGACGTGAGGCCATGATTTTCCGGAGTGGGGGTCCCAAACCAGCCCTTCGTTCCGACTCTGACCAGAGCCTCCTACATGGTGAGGCCCCCTGAGGGCAAGGCTGCCTGGGACCCATCTCTCTAACTGGGATGATAGAAGATAGATGGAATGTGGCGCAAGATGGAGAGGCCACACCTCCAGCTTCTGGGGTGGGGGAGGCACGGTGCCTTGCCCTGTCCCATAATCACCCGGTCACTCTCCCAGACCCCCGGTTTGTGATGGCTGCTCGGATCCCAGATAACTCAGACCGGGATGACGACAAGGTGTATTTCTTCTTCTCTGAGACTGTCCCGTCACCAGATGGTGGCCCGGGTCATGTCACCGTCAGCCGTGTGGGCCGAGTCTGTGTGGTAAGAGCTGTGGCGGGGTGGTGAGGTTCAAGCCCCCTGTTGGGACCTCTTTCCTGGACTGTCCCTCCACAGGGTTGGGGTGGAGGGGCGGGAGGTGGGGCCCACCCTCGTGGGACATAAAGCTCACTCTTACCTCCCCTTCCCCAGAATGATGCTGGTGGCCAGCGGGTGCTGGTGAACAAGTGGAGTACCTTCCTCAAGGCCAGGCTGGTCTGCTCTGTGCCTGGCCCCGGTGGGGCTGAGACTCACTTTGACCAGCTGGGTAAGGGAATGGCCAACCAGGGAGTTGGAACAGGGAGGGCTCAGAGCGGGTAAGGCAAAGCACTGGCAGATCGCTGTAACACTGATGCCTCTTTCTGTGTCCCAGAGGACGTGTTCCTGCTGTGGCCGAAGGCAGGGAAGAACCTGGAGGTGTATGCGCTGTTCAGCACCGTCAGGTGGGCACACTTTGCTTCCTGCACCCGGGCACCCCGGCCTGGGGACGCTGTGACTGCCTTCTCAGGTTATCTCTGTTCCGTCCCTTGTCTCTGTGTTCTGTGTCCCAGGCTCTGTTTTCAGCAGACACTGTCATCTTCTATCTCACCTTTTGAGCCAGTCTGCCTCACCCCCAACCACCTCGGCCTGGCCTGACTGTCCCTGTCTGTCCTTAGCAGTGCTGTGTTCCGGGGCTTCGCCGTCTGTGTGTACCACATGGCAGACATCTGGGAGGTCTTCAACGGGCCCTTTGCCCACCGAGATGGCCCTCAGCATCAGTGGGGACCTTATGGGGGCAAGGTGCCCTTCCCCCGCCCCGGTGTGGTAAGCATCGGCTTGGGACCCGGCAAAGGAGCCCTAAGTAGATGATGCAGGTGGGGGAGGGCTCCTCTGTGGAAAAGCTTCAGGCTTCCATTCATCCCGTGGCAGTAGCGGGCTGGACCTCCAGAGGGCCTGGGAGGAGAGCCTCTGCCATGGGCGTGGCCCCCTGGAGGTGGAAAGAGGCCTGGCCGTGCCATCCTAGGGACTTCAAGTGTCCCCTGTGTTCTGCCCCCAGTGCCCTAGCAAGATGACGGCACAGCCAGGGAGACCCTTTGGCAGCACCAAGGACTACCCGGATGAGGTGCTGCAGTTTGTCCGAGACCACCCACTCATGTTCCAGCCTGTGAGGCCCAGGCGGGGACGCCCTGTCCTGGTCAAAACTAACTTAGCTCAGCAGCTGCGCCAGATTGTGGTGGACCGAGTGGAGGCCGAGGATGGGACCTATGATGTCATCTTCCTAGGGACCGGTAGGAGGGCCGAACAGAGGTAGCCAGGTTTGTGGGGAGGGGGGTGGCTCCTTCCTTCTTGTCTCTCTAACCCTTGTGCCTCTCCTCCAGATTCAGGGTCTGTGCTCAAAGTCATGGCCCTCCATGTCAGCGGCTTGGCTGAGCCTGAAGAGGTAGTTCTGGAGGAGCTCCAGGTGTTTAAGGTGAGCATGGGTTAAGGAGAGGCTCGGACTCCCACCCTTGGGCCTGGGGTGGGTTCCCGGGGAGTGAGCCCAGGGGACAGGCTCAAAATATGGCCCACACTGCTGAAGAGGCCCTTGGATGCTTCTGAGTTACTGGGGGAGCCGAGGTGGCAGTCTGTGGACTCAAATGCTTTCTGGGCAGGGAGAGCCGAGGTGAGCGCTTTCGACACAGCCTTGTCAGGCTCAATTGCAGTGACAAAGTGGCTGAGACTCCAAGTCCCCAAGAGTTCTCCCCCCCCCATGTATCTGGACAGGGATTGTCTCTGTTTGGGGGGCTATTTTGACTCTGGACATGAAGTAAATGATTTAGGGCAGCTAGTTCATGGCCAGCTGGGGAACATTGTGGGAGGGGACAGTGGAACTCTGTGCCCAGCCTCCCACTTGGCCTGGAGGCCAGCCAGGATGAGGGGGCCCTTCTGGATGTCAGGAAAAAACTAGCCAGACGTTTTTTGTTTGTTTATTTGTTTGTGACAATATATATATCCTGGAACACACTTTGTAGAACAGGCTGGACTCAAACTCAGAGAAAGCTACCTGCCTCTGCCTGCCAAGCACTGGGATTAAAGGCGTGCGTGACTATACCCAGCATTTGTTTGTATTTTTGAGACCGTGTCTCTCTATGAAGCTTAGCGTAGACTGAGACTTATCATATAGAGCGGGCTGGCTGGCTTTGACCACTTCCTGCCTTGACTGCTCAGGTGCTCAGATTACAGGCAAGCACCACCGTTCCCCAGCCCCATCCAATCCTTTGCTGCCAGGAGGCAGTGATGGGGGGGGAGGGGGCAACTGGCTCCCACACAGGGTTGGGGATTGCCGAAAGCAGGGGTGCTGTGCACAGCCTTCACCCACCCATCCTAAGACCCCTATCCCTTCTCCAGGTGCCAACACCCATCACGCAGATGGAGATCTCTGTCAAAAGGGTAAGGCTGCCCCTCCCCCACATCCCCTCCCTTAAACTTGCCTTGGATTCTGTTGGAGAGCTGGGCCTATCAGATTTGATTAGGTCTTGCAGCTAAGGCCAAGTCCAGCTGGGAGCAGAGCTTCATGTGTTCAGATAAAGCCACAAAAACCCCTGGGGTAGCCTTCTATGGGACACAAATAGGCTTGGAAACAAAAATCCAGATTTCTAATCAAACAAGGTTACTTCTTTTAGTGGTATGCTGTATGCCCTTAACATACTCTGTCCCAGTTTGTCTTTAGGTAAATCACAGCTTACATTGTGTGTGTGTGTGTGTGTGTGTGTGTGTGTGTGTGTGTGTGTGTGTGATCTTCTATATTACCTATGAGCACGTGCGGGCATGCATGTCTGTCTGTCTGTGTATAGACTAGAGGTGTCATTCCTCAGGTGCTGCCACCTTCCTATGAGATGGACTCATTGGCCAATTAGGCTAGAGTGGCTGCCCAGTGAGCCCCGAAGCCATAGGTCTCTCTTCTCCAGGCTGGGACTGCAGTTGGGGCCACCACCTCCTGCTCTTTTTACAATGCAGCTTCTGAAGAACTTGTGCTCAAGCACCTGACTACCTGGGCCATTGCCCGAGCACCTGGGAGTAAAGCCCAACTTCTTAACATTTTTAAAAAATAGCCTGCCAGGCTCAAGTTGGGACGAGCAAATGGCTGAGTCTACAGGCCCTAAAAGTTCTCGTGGCCAATGGAGGGTGGAGATCAGAGAGCAGTTTCTAGAAGCGGATTCTTTCCTTCCTTTTACCACATGCGACATGGGGGAGCAAACTCAGATTGTCAGGCTGGGTGGCCAGTACCTTTCCCTGCAGACCCATCTCACTGGTCCAAATCTCAGCTTTTATCCTGGGATTACTGTAGATGTGTCCAGTCGGCATCCCACTGGCTACATGGGGCAGAGGCCAGCTATGAGTGCAGTTCAACACAAAATCATAACTTACTTAAAACATGAGTTGGTTTCCCCTCCCCTTGTTGGTTTTTGATAACTCAGTTGCTCATACATGAGTTTTGCAGATGACAGCACCATATCACAATGTCAAAAGGTTGGCCATGCCTGCAAGGCACAGTTCTGAAGTCAGGGAGAAGCCAATCACACGAAGTCCCTTAGGCTAGGGTGCAAAGGTTGACAGCAAAGAAGGCCTGAAAAAGTCTCTTACAGAAAAGCCACCAGGCCACCCCCCTCCACTCACAGCCTAGCACAGGATCTGGAACACATTTGGCATCTCCGGTCTTGTGAATGAATCTGAGGGGTTCTGGAAGCCTTCCTGAAACTGATGAGTCTCGGGAAACCCTGGGCGTTGAGAGCCTGTTGGTGAAGCCCAGCTCACCATGACTCTGCTTGTGTTCCTTCCCCAGCAAACGCTGTATGTGGGCTCTCCACGGGGCGTGGCCCGGCTGCGGCTGCACCAGTGTGAGACTTACGGCACTGCCTGTGCTGAGTGTTGCCTGGCCAGGGATCCGTACTGTGCCTGGGATGGTGCTTCCTGTACCCGATACCGCCCCAGCTTGGGCAAGCGCCGGTTCCGAAGGCAGGACATCCGACATGGCAACCCTGCTCTGCAGTGTCTGGGCCAGGGCCAGAGCCAAGACAGTGAGTGGGGGGCTCAGGGTGTGGGTCAGCCTGTGGACTGGGCTCCATCCCTGGGAAGCATGGGCTTAGAAAAGTCGTAATGTAATAACGTCCCCAGTTCCCCTATCTGTGCAGCTCACTTGGGGTCGTAGGACAGTGTCTTCTGGCACTGAGAGTGGCTTGGGGTTGTTGGATGTCTAAGTATCACACAGGTATCCTATGGGAGTTAGTTTGTGAGCCTCAGAGCCTGGCTCCCCGAGTTCCCAAGTTGATGTGACCTGCTCCTCTCTACAGAGGAAGCTTCAAGACTGGTGACCAGAGTCTTCGGCACAGAGCACAACAGCACTTTCCTTGAGTGTCTGCCCAAGTCTCCCCAAGCTGCAGTACGCTGGTTTTTACAGAGGCCAGGGGATGAGGGGACCGACCAGGTGAGTGAAGACACTGCCTTGAGATCCACTTTTCTCCCTAAACTCTGGAAAGGGACTCTGGGGTGAACTGGCAAAGATCATCCTGAGAAAAATTATACCCTGGGTACCTATGAGGACCTGCCCATATTTCTGCTTCTGGAGGTACCTAGGCTGGAGGTAGCTACAGTCTCTCTAGCCCCTGAGGGGGGTGGCAGAGGTTGAAGAGAGGTCTATGTTGGTCTGGAAGTTCTCATCCTAACACGTGTGGCTCAGCTTTGAAGGGTTCTCTTCCCCGGAGTTTCTTAATTGTTCTCTGCCTCAAGCCTGGTCCCGGCCACTCTATTAGCTCCTATTCCTAGCTCTGTGCTTCTTCCTCAGAAGCCAGTTGTCTGCCCAAGCCCTCCTCTCCCCCCTGACTGGGAAGGTCTATCAACCCCCAAGATGGCTTCAGTCTGGGGCATGAGGCAGAGCAGAGTTGGGAAGGGTTTTCCCATGGGGAGGGAAAGAGGAGGAGGGCTTTGATTACAGGAGGGGCTCTTCCTCAGCTCGGGAGCCAGGGAGGGCAAGCCTGGGACCAGCTGTTGGGTTGGGCACTGAGGAGACTCCCTAGGGTAGGGGGAAACAACAAGATGAGGTTACACAATGCTAACCACCCAGGCGGTTCACCCTCAGTGCGCAGATGCATAGACCGAAGCCCAGAACAGGGTTAGTAGAAGAGCTTGGGATCAGAGCCAGCTCTTGCCTCCCACACTCAAGTGGGCACTTATCCCACCCCAGGCTTGGGCTGTGGGCCTCACACTGTGGGGGTGTGACTAGGACACACCAAGACAGGGAAAGGCTAACATGATTGCTTGTGTGTGTGTGTGTGTGTGTGTGTGTGCAGAATTTTCCTTAACTCAGTAAAATCTCATTAGATAGTACCTAACTCCTCTGCTCCCTGGGTGATCCCGCAGAGTTTATGAAGCTGGTGTCTTAAGGCTCTGACCTGGGGACACACAGCCATTCAGTCTGGGAAAGCCTCCTTTATAGGTCCTTGTCCTGTGCTGTGGGAAGAGGAGGGCCTGCCTGCCTGCCTGCAATGAGCTTATAGTCTGCCCTGAGATCCTGTTAACTACTGGGCCCATCTTGGGGAGGAAGGAACAGGCTAAAGGGAGGGCCCAAGGCTTGGACCCCGAGGATGGTAAATGTGGAAAAGCAGGGCAAAGAGAACGAGGTGAGCGTCCTCCCCAACTCCTTGCTAAGGTCTCCTGTGCTCCCTGCCCACCCTGCAGGTGAAGACAGATGAGCGCGTTGTGCAGACGGAACAGGGGCTTCTGTTCCGGAGGCTCAGCCGCCGTGACGCAGGAAACTATACCTGTACCACACTGGAGCACGGCTTCTCCCAGACTGTAGTTCGTTTTACCCTGGAGGTGATTGCGGCTGTGCAGCTGGACAGCCTGTTCCTCCGGGAGCCACGGCCAGAGGAGCCCTCAGCCTGGAGAGGCCTGGCCTCCGCTTCACCCAAGACTTGGTATAAGGACATCCTTCAGCTCGCCGGTTTCGCCAACCTGCCCCGGGTGGATGAGTACTGTGAGCGTGTATGGTGTAGGGGTGCTGGGGAGCGCTCAGGCTCCTTCCGGGGCAGGGGAAAGCAGGCTAAGGGGAAGAGCTGGGCAGGGCTGGAGCTGGGCAAGAAGGTGAAGAGCCGGGTGCTGGCCGAGCACAATCGGACACCTAGGGAGGTAGAAGCCGCCACATAGAAGATGGCTGAGGAGGGGGTGGACAGGCTGGGCTGGGAGACTCAACAACATCTCCCTCCCACCCAGCCAGGGCAGAGGAGGCCAGGGCACCTGGTTACCTCTCTACCACCTGCAGGAAAGACTAGAGGCTGGTGGGAAGGGCCGTGCCCCTCAGCCTACCCCTGACCCTCTCTGTGTCCTCAGTCCCAGGCTGGAGCTGGCACCCCCTGACCACTTGGGGTCCCAAGGGGCCTGCTATTTGTTCTCAGGGATGGTGTGGCTTCCGGAGCACATTTCCGGCTGTGCCCAGAGGCAAATGGGTTGGGTGGTTCTTTCTCAGCTTGCAGAACAATGGCCATTCTGAGTGGGTGTATGGGTGGCTCTGAGGGGATATATTGGCCGTCCACCAGAGAAGGGGACAGTAGCTGGTAAGCTGGCACCTGTGAGGAAGTGCTTGCTCCACCAGAGGTGTGAGAGAAGGTAGCGGAGCGAGGAGGTCGGGGAGCATTGTCCATCTGCCTCCGTGCTTTGGTATCTGGATGTTTCCCTGCCTCAGCCCACCACCATCTCAGACTCAGGCAGGAATTGCTAGAACCTGAAAGTGGCCCGGCTCCCTCTGACACCAGGAAGAGTTGTCTCACAACATGATACCTATTTTCCAGGTCCCAAACAGTCAGGCCAGATTTGTGGGGTACCTACACCTCACCATCAGGGTCCCTTCCTGAGGGTCAGGAGGAGGAGGGTCTGAGGGGCAGAGAGAGGAAGAAGGCAGATCCAGGGTGGGAGCCGGAAGATGGGCTACCTTTCTAAGGGCGAGGCAGGCACACTCAGGCCTGTGAGGTTAGAGTGGGCTCTGAGGACTGCAGTCTGTGGTCAGGATCAGTACCCCGGGCTTTGGCTAGGGCTCCAAGGAACGAGAGAGGGGTGGGCCCATGAGTCCGCAACAGGTGTCCTCAAGAACCAAAGTGACATCAATCGGTTCAGGAGTCTCTGGGTAGGCCAGACATTCCCAGCCCTGGAGTCTATATTAGCTATACACAGGGTGGCCATGATGGTTCGTTCCTAAGACTCCTGTGTTTTTCATGGTACTCAGGATTGGACCCAGGGTCTCATGCATGCCAGACAAGTGCTCTACCACTGAGTTGTGTCCCAGCTTGCTCGTGTTCTCTCTCTCTCTCTCATGGGAGGATGTGGAGAAGAAGGCTGGCAGAACGGTGATCCTGCTGTTCTGGGGAGGCTGAGTGTCAAGGGCACATCTGGCTTAGGCTGTAGAGGAGGAACTTGGCCATCAGCAGTCTCTCCAGCTGGGGAGCAGAGTGGGGGAGGAGGACAATTAAATGAGAAGTTATTCCCAGCCTGAGGGTGAATTAGTTAGTGACGCACAAGAGGGCAAGTCTGAGATCCCCCCTTTGAAAAGAAGGAAAAAGGAAGAGAGGGGGTGGGCAGAAGATGAAGCAGCAAGATAGAGGTTCTTGCTCTACTGAAGTTCAAACTTTGGGTTTATTTTCTCTATCCTGACACCACCAGGGTGCTGGGATCTGAACGCTCACACCCTCTCCACTTTGCTCATCTGGCAAACAGGAGCCCTGAAATCCACCTGCCCAAACCCAGGTCCTTCTGCTTGTGGGTGTGGCCCCTTGGGATATTGGTGAATGAAAGAAGAGGAAAGAGGAGTGGGTAGAAGCCAGAGGAAAGAAGGGATGGGGAGACAGAGGAGATGGAAGGGGAGAGGAGACCCTGAGAAGACAGAAAGCGGCAGCCCGGTCCTCAGTGGCTCCTCTGGGGAAACGGCCCTGGGAAACGCAGGGAAAAGGAACTCGGCAT